AATAATTTAAAAAACTTTAAAAAAAATGAGAAATCCCGAAACTGGTAACAAGGAAATCGAAGAGTTAAAAAACCAACAAGATGGATATATGAGGTGTATAGAGCGAATGCAAAAATAGTTAAGTTACGGTCGATTCTCGTTAAATACGGTTGAGTTAGAAGGTCGATTAGAAATCCTAAACAAGCACATTTATAATGCTTCGCATATTCAAAATCAAATCGAAGCGAAAAATGTAGATGATGTGTACCGCGAAGAGTCAAAAGAGACTGCCATAATAGCAAAATCGTTGCTAATTTACATAATTGCAGAAACATGGCTTAAAAGCGTTGACAATTCCGCTACGCCGGCAACGCGCACGCCCCAATGCCGTTTGCCGAGCTTCGCCCTTCCAACCTTCAGCGGAAAGCATTCCGAATTTAAAAATTTTATTAGCCTTTTGGAAACGTTTGTTGACAAAGATGACACGATTCACGATATCGAAAAATTTAACCATTTAATATCGTGTTTGGCTGGAGACGCGCTAGGAACAGTCAGGGCATTTCAAGTCACCGCGGATAATTATCCAAAAGCCCTGGCTAGCCTAAGGCGGGTGTACAATAATGATTGTTTAATTTTCTTTGACAATTTCCCAGCCATGAGCTTCCCCCTTGAGAAACCTCAACGACACAGTCACAGCGCTCTACGATTTTCTTTTGTCCATTGGGCATGACAAACGTATCAGAAATGGCATCCTAATTCATTTATTAATGGGCAAAGTCGATGCAGGAACTAAAAGAAAGTGGGAAGAACAGCTGGACTACACATCGCTTCCTCCTTGGAGCGAGTGTGAGTCGGCTCTGAACAAGCACTATAAACATATGTATGGTTGCCGAAGAAGAGTGCAAGCCAAAAATTGTTCAGCAGAGCCAGGCTTGTCCTAAGAAGAATGGAAGCAGGAGTTTTTTGTTTGTCGCTGCCATGGGCAGATCCTTAAATATGTGTGTTTTGCAACTCATCAGAACATCAAGTAGGCAATTGCACTGCTTTTGCCGCCCTAACAGTTCAGCAGAGATTCGATTTTGCAAAGAGGGCGCCTTTATGCATTAATTGCCTTCGAAACGGCTACACGGTGAAAAAATGCAAATCGAAAAGATGGAGGGTGTGTAAGTCCTTAAACCAAACATTGCTTCACATTTATTCGCCGAATTCTTCTGAGCCCACGCTCTTACAGAATACTCCATACAATTCGCATGTTATAGAGTTATTCTTGCCACAGCCATCGTGAGCGTACAAACAAAAAATGGCGAGTTAGGTTTGGTTCGAGCGTTGCTCGATTCTGGTTCACATGTAAATTTTGTGACCGATGAGCTCGCTCAGAGACTTAAGATTGAGAGAGAGGTGGAACTAACGCTCAAGCAACCAAGAAAATGTAAACGATAGTCAAGTCGCGAGAGGATAGCAGTCAGTTGTCGTCCGAATTTTACATCTTAAAAAATATTTCTAGTTATCATCCGGATCAAACGGTGAACTCCAACGGCTGGAGGGTGCCTGAAAACATTCAATTGGCAAATCCATTCGTCTTCAAGCCGCAGAAAATAGTTATGCTTATGGGTGCAGAATCGTTCTTTGAACTCTTGTCAGTCGGCCAAAGAAAGCAAGGACCTGGGTTTCCCATTTTAAAAAAAAAACAGTTCTCGGCTGGATAGTGTCAGGGAAATGTGCCTCAGAAAGAATAAGAGATACAGAAAAATTGGTACATCTCAGCTGCCAGGAGGAAGTGCTGGAGTTAATTGACACAGCCCTGCAGAAATTTTGGCCTGTGGAGGACTTGCCGCCCAAGGCCAAGGACCATATACCTGAGCAGGAGCCTTGTGAGCAACACTTTCAGAAAAATACTCAAAGAATGTCGTCTGGGAGATTTTCGGTTCGTCTGCCGTTCAAATCTGACCCAAACACTCTTGGTTTATCATATGAAGTTGTGAAACGTAGATTCTTGTCGCTGGAAAGGAGATTGTCCAACGGCCTTCATTAAACAAAAATATGTCTCTGAAATTTATGGAAGAATATGTAGCCATGGGCCACATTTCTTGCACTGATAATAAAGTTCCATAAAGTCCGCACTATTTCATTCCGCACCAATGAGTGCTGCGACCTCAAAGCACTTTAACAAAGTTGATAGTGGTATTCGACGCCTCAAGCCGTACATCGACGCAGGTCGCGTTGAATGACATATTGATGGTAGGTCACACCATTCAAGAGGAGTTGTATTCGACGTTGCTTCGTTTTAGACTGCACAAGTTTGCGCTTGCAGCAGACGCGAAAAAGTTGTATCGTCAAGTGTTGGTTCATGAAGCTGACCGAAACTTTCAGCTTATAGTGTGGAGACGAGATCCATCTGAGTCTTTAAAAATCTTCAAGTTGAACACCGTGACCTATGGAACTTCGCCAGCACCATACCTGCCAAAGCATGAAGGACTTTTATGTTGACGATTTGTTGACTGGCGCCAGAAGCATTAAGGACCAGTTAAGCCTCCGGACGTAGTTTCTCATGTATTTCAAGAGGCGGGATTTGAATTGGCAAAGTTGTCCGCATCTAAAAGCCCTGTCATGCCGCCAACGGCAGGCTCTGACGTAAATAAAACCCTTGGCGTGATTTCGTTGCCTTGTAAAGATTACTTTAAAGTTCGGTTAGATGGTTCTTTCCTGGATCTTCTTGCGACAAAACGAAACATACTGTCGGTAACTGCCCGACGGCAAAAATGTTGTAGCAGGAACTGTGGCTTTAAAAGTTAGACTGGGACGAGTCGCTGCCGATGCAACTGCAGACATCTTGGGAAGCTTTCAAGGGAACGCTGTTGCAGCTGCCCAAAATCAAGGTATCGCGATTCGTTCATACAGACGCCTAAGTCCCTGCAGAAATACATGGTTTCGCTGACGCTTCCATGCGAGCATATGGAGCGTGCATCTACGTTCGCACTAATACCGCTGAAGGTTTAAAAGTGTTTTTATTGACAGCAAAATTCAAAATAGCTCCCCTTAAGACGAAAACTTTGCACCGCCTTGAGTTGTGTGCAGCTCACCTTCTAGCGGATCCTTATAATCGTGTAAGACCATTGCTTAATTTTCCGATTGCAAAAGTGTTCCTGTGGAGGGACTCGGAGATCTCTCTGCATTGGATCAAAACGCATCCGTCGTCATTGTCGTTTTTTGTCTCAAACCGAGTTGAAGAGATTCAAGAGTAGTCGGAAAAAGCAATTTGGAGACATGTCCCTACTAAAGTTAACCCAGCGGACATCGTATCACGCGGATGTGACGTATAGCTTCCATTTGGTTCTCTGGGCCGTCGTTTTTGGTCGATCCAGTAATAGATTGGCCTGTTAATCGACACTTCGAAGTTCCTGCTGATGTCGTGTAGAGGAATTACGCAAATCAGCATTAGCGCTTGTGGTAATCCCAGAGCCCAATTATGTGCTTCAGAAAATAGAGTCATTTCCCTTCAGTTCCAAAAAAAAAGTTTCACTTGTGAATCACCTTGTGAATCCCGTGGGACATGTCCTCTTGCACAAGTGAAGAACAAGTGACGCTCCATATAGAAAATTGTATGGGATGTCCGCATTTTCACAAGTGAAAATTCAAATGAAAATTTTTCGAAGTCCTACGGGATTTCACTTGTTCCTTATACTCATTTTTCGTATGGCCTGTCACGTGCCGGTGACTCGTCCCAAGTGAATCACTTGGGAAAATCAGAATTTTTCCTTGAGTTTTCACTTGTGAAATCACTTGCAAGGGACACGTCCCAAGTGAAACACTTGGGAAAATCAGAATTTTTCCTTGAGTTTTCACTTGTGAAATCACTTGCAAGGGACACGTCCCAAGTGAATCACTTGTGAAAATCAGAATTTTTCCTTGAGTTTTCAATTAAAAAAATATAGAATTTAATTCATTTTATTTTAATTCATTTTAATTATATGGTACTATTTAGATTTTCAAAAATTGTACAATTATTGTTTCTGTTTTTTTGCTTCGTAAGCTTATTTTTAACGTTAGACATCGCCGTTCTTAAACCTTTGTCCGGGTCCTCTGAATCCTTGGCCAACGCTCCTGAAAAAACATATGTTTAAAAAATGCGTTTTATTTGTTTAATTGTATAATTACCTTTTATAGCTTGTTGCAGAATTTTTATTGGCACAAAACATTTCGTCATCCACTTTCGGCTAACGGAACCCATTGAATACCTTCAAAATTTACGTACTTTAAACTAAGATCAATACACAACATCTTAAACTTAATGTAGCACTTACCTGACTTTATTATATTAACTAAACGATTAAAGTACCTCTGCTGCGCACCATTAAAATGGATGCTTCCCTTTCAATCACTCAAACAGAATGCACCAAGTCTTCTCACCCCTTTACTAGATTTCTTTTGTTTTCTCTTCGCTGTTGGCGCGTGCCACTGCACCTATACCCTTTCTAAAGTGAAATATATCCGACTATATAGTTTTTACTTCTTGAGTAAAAAATACAATACGATTTTTTCTTAAATGTTAATACTTAAATGTTTTAAATACTTAAATCAATTTTAACGGACTAAATTTCTATAACTTAACTATAAAATTATATTGTAATAAGAATGTATAATAAGTAAATATAACATTATAAGTAAATTCAATTTACTAAATTTTACTATAATCAAATAGTTTACTTTTATAAAACAATATTAGTTGTTTTTTTCGATACACAATAATGCTCCTAAAATATTAGGGCATTCACATGTCGCTTCTCCACGAAAATTTTTCCGCCGAAATATTAGTCGCTAGCCGAACATAACGGAGAGACGCAAAAAAAAATAACGGACCAGCCGAAATTTGTCTCTGCGAGCGCGGAGTGCAGCAGATTATAAGACAAGAAAGAGAGGGAAATATCCGAATATCTGCCTCTCTTTGTTGCACGATCGTTTTCGTGGGCAGTCTTCTACGCTGCGCCGACTGCTCTGCTGACGTCAACAGCGGCACAGCGTTTTAGGCACAAAAAAAGCTTTTTGCCTTGAGCCATGTCACCGCGTCCCTACTGCAGAACTGAAGGGTTTCGTCACACATAAAGCTTCATAGAGCTTTCTTGTGGCTTTTTCGGTTTATTCAAAGGTGCAAAAAAGTTTCGCACTCCTTTAACACAACTTATCGTATGCTTGGTAAGCCACCGTACAAGGAGTTGCGGTCCACTTAGAGTTAGTGTCTGACCTCACCACTGATGCATTTTTGTTGGCATTTCAGAGGTAAGTGAGTCGACGCGGGATTCCGGAGAAGGTGTGGTGCGGCAACGCGACGAACTTCGTCGTAGCAGATCGCGTCATGAGAGACTTCCGGTCCCGATTGGAAGAGCACGGCGGCGGTATCGGAACATTCGCATTAAAAAAAGAATGCGAGTTTGCGTTCATACCGCCCAGAGCACCTCACTTCGGCGGACTATGGCACCTGTTCTTTCGGACGGTCGGCAAAGACATCCTGACCGCGGATGAGCTCGGAACTCTCCTCACCAGCGTGGAGGCAGTCCTCAATTCCAGGCCCTTCGGAGCGATCAGCAGCGATCCGAACGACGGCGAAGCCCTAAGCCCAGGCCATCTTCTGATCGGCGGCGCCCTTCTAGCTCCACCATCAGCAGCGCTCCCGGACCAACTCAGCCCAACCTGCATGCGACGATGGCGCAGTGTCTTGTCTCTCAGGCACAGGTTTTGGCAGCGATTGTCCCGGGAGTACGCCTCCAGCCTCCAGGCGAGGAAAAAGTGGCACCGTGGGAGCTCTCATCGTCGTCGTCGAGGACAATCTTCCGCCGCAGCAGTGGACGATTGGGCGTGTCGTGGCGGTACACGTCGGCGCTGATGACAAAGTTCGAGTGGCGGACGTGAAGACCAAGGGTGGCACGTACCGGCGAGCGATCCATAGGCTGCCTGTGGTGTGCTGAAGACGGCGGTTCTTTAGAGGGGGCGGTGTTTGCGCACTTTGCGCTTATTTTTTTTTAATTTGTTGTAGAGTGTAAGACGGGAGCGGGAGCGTAATAAGGCTTTCTTCGCTTTCGCGAATTCGAGCGTCTATCGCCCCTAGTTAAAATAGGCTTAAAATTAAATTTAAAGTTTAGTTGTTATATGAGAATCATTGCGCACACTCCCTTTCGTCATCGAATAAATACCGGATCCCTGCAATCATCAGTTTTCGCGTTTTACTGAGTACAAAAGAGTGTTAAATTTTCAAATCTAAAACTGACAGGTTTAAAGGGCACATTTGACATTAACAGAATTAGCTCGCTGCTTAAGGGAACGTTCTCTTTGTTTTGGATCAAAAAATCGATTTTTTTTTGCAAAAATTGAAAGCCACATATCCGTAGAGTATGTGTGTGAAAGGATTTTTCGATACGATGAATAGTTTGTGAATGAGAGCGTTTCGAATACACCTGCGTCACGCGCGCTGCGTACTTTAAAAAACTTTAAACGCGTTTTTCTCGAAACCATGTTTTCCAAAAAAATTCCGCGTCCACAGCGTCATCCTGTGAACCGATTTGCTTCATGTAAAATTTTTATGAAAGTATATGCTTTTTTATTGGGCACTAAGCTACTCCGAAAATAAAAAATAATTTATTTATAATTTTTCAACGTGGTTTAACTGAAAAAAAATGTACGAAAATCGAACTTTAAAATTCGAACATTCATTACGCGGTCAATTTATGGCCGCAATTTGATGCCATTAGGTTAGTGCCTTACAAAAGTATATTAACTTTAACTAATGATAACAATTTTCTATCTGAGTTGACTACAAGAGGCTGCAGGCTCGGAATTTTTGGACGATGTTTGCCGCGCGGAGGCAGACGAAAGCCGCCATTTTGAATTTCACCATCAAATAAATTTAAAAAAAATCTTGAATAATAAACGAATTCAAAAAGCAAAACCCGAAGTTCGTACGCCTTTTCGTTATCCCACAAAAAATTGACGAACTTTGCCTTCATTTCGACCAAAACAAAGAGAACGTTCCCTTAAAAGAATAATAGAGCCCGATAAAATTCTTCAAATATTGAAAAAAACTCCAGAGAAAATGGTAGAAACACATAATGAAAACAGAAAAGAAAAATAATATCATGTAGGACAAGTAGTTTATGAAAAGAAATATGGGGATAGAAATAAACTTGAGCCAAGGTATATAAAACAAGTAGTTGAGGAGGTTATGCCTAGTAAAATAATAATTAAAAGTAGAAACAGAATTATAAACAAATTATATACAAATAAACTATTTTCTTAACTTACAGAAAATCTATTCCTAAAACCTATTTTATCAATCATAATATTGGCCAGTTCAGATATAATTGAGTACTCGAACCATGAGTTTTTTTTGTTCAAGGACAATCATACAACGATATGAATCATACAACGATATATTCCACGTAACTAATTTAAAATTTTATAAAGAAATAATACATACAGAATCAACTAATATATAAATGGATTCTAATATGAAATCACAATGGGAAAATAAAAACGACATAGAATTAATTTTGTTACAGTTAATATCAACTAGATCGAAAAGGGGAATAAGTGAATTCCCTGTGGAAATATTTAGCTGGAACTCCGGATCATAATGATTTCATTAAAGAACAAAATAAAATCAATGATTTAATTGAAAATATTAAAAAACAATTTGGATTTGATAATCCAAATTCTTCAAAGATAAAGAATCTCTTTCTAGAGATTTAAAAAAAATTTTATTGATCAAGGCTTACAGTTTATAAAACATATCTTACGACTACTTAAGTTTGACCAACAAAATTTTATTGGTCAATCACAACGGCAAAAATTGATGTTTGTAATAAAAACAAGGAAGAACGCTATAGTCGAGTACCTCGACTATCAGATACCCGTTACTCAGCTATATGGAGATATGCAAGCAGCAAAGCGAGATTAAAATGCGCCACCTACCGGCGGTATACAGATTTAAGCGTTATGGGCGTTAGAGTGGGCGTGGCAAATTTTTTTTTGGATCAATCGATAGGTATCGACGAGACCAATACATTTCAGTTAAAATTTTTATTCTAGCATCAAAACTGTAGAAGCCACAGTTTTGGGCGGTTTGTGGGCGTTAGAGTGGGCGTGGCACTGTGCCGAAACAAACTTGCGCTGCGTAAGAAGCTCAGGAATCTGCACGCCAAATCTCAATAGCCTAGCTCCCATAGTTTTCGAGATCTCAGCGTTCATCCGGACAGACAGACGGACAGACGGACAGACGGACATGGCTAGATCGACTCGGCTAGTGATCCTGATCAAGAATATATATACTTTATGGGGTCGGAAACGCTTCCTTCTGCCTGTTACATACTTTCCGACGAATCTAGTATACCCTTTTACTCTACGAGTAACGGGTATAAAAAGTCATGGATCCGAAAAAATAGAAATTGGAGCACGGACCGACCTGGTTACTTTGCGGAATTAAACCCAATAATACGCATTAGGAACGGTGATAAAGGAGTTTGTATATCACCTGTGGAAAAAACTATGGTATTTATCCTTTTTGGTATATGTATGTTGTAGTATGGTATAATTGGAACGAGCTTGTTATTTTTTTTGGAGTGCTGGTATTATTTTTGCCTTTGTAATAATTTGATAACATGTATTATTATGTATTATAGTCCTCGATGGAGTCAAAAAATCTTGGATAGTTTTGGGAGCCTAAATTGGCAGAACACTGGGATTTAAATAATTCTAACTGTATGCTTTTTTATTCTTCGATTTTGCATAAGTGTATATATGTATGGATGTAAGGCCGAATGCAATTAAATTTGTTGTACAATAATATGCAACTCACTTTTTTGGATCTTTTGTTTACGTTAGCGGACTCAGGGCTCGCTTGGGACTCCGATTGTTTACAATATCGGTTTGGATGTTTACAGCATCCGTTTGATTCGGACTACGTGAAATTGATCTGGGTGGGAATGATTTGTAGGCCTGCTTGACATAAAAAGCTGACCACGGATTTATCTCGGGTCTGTCAGAGTTATTTGGAAATTAGCTCTCGGCTCAAAGTTGTTTATAAATTGGGTAAGAGCCCCTAAATAATGTGTCATATAACTCCCCCCATTCTAAATTTAATCGTCCCGATTCATTGGAACTGTTGGGTATATTGAATGTAATTGATTGGTTGATTCGACAATGATATTTTCTTCTAGGGTATTTTCATTGTCGGGGGTATTATTTATCTCAATATCGGAAATATTGCTTTCTGGTTTGATTTCTATACGAATTTGCCATGGTTTGAATATTAAAAATTTTCTAAATTTGATTATAATCATAATAATTAAATATATAAATGTGAATATGATTAATATTAACGTAACTGGTATTTGAGTTTGTTTAATTTGAATAAATGGATTTAGTATGTTAATATAATCAAATGAGAGTTCCGAATCATTAGATATAATATATTCGGATATTAAAAAATCTGTATATTTTCGAGCTGTGATGTATTCCAATATCTTATTGTCTACATTGGTGTAGGAAATATTATTAATTATAGAGGTTCCATTAAAAGTAATCAAATATGACCCATTGAAGAATGAAGCGTTTCCGACCCCATAAAGTATATATATTCTTGATCAGGATCACTAGCCGAGTCGATCTAGACATGTCCGTCTGTCCGTCTGTCTGTCCGGATGAACGCTGAGATCTCGAAAACTATGGGAGCTAGGCTATTGAGATTTGGCGTGTAGATTCCTGAGCTTTTTACGCAGCGCAAGTTTGTTTCAGTAGAGTGCCACGCCCACTATAACACCCACAAACCGCCCAAAATTGTGGCTCCTACAGTTTTGATGCTAGAATAAAAATTTTAACTGAAATGTAATGTTCTCATCAATACCTATCGATTGACCCAAAAAAAAGTTTGCCACGCCCACCCTAACGCCCATAAACCGCCCACAAACTTCAAAAAATCGTTAATATGAACGTGGATATCTCGGAAACTATCAAAGGTAGAGAATTGGAGTTTCAGATTTAGATTCCGTAGCCTTATACGCAGCGCAATATGCCACGCCCACTCTAACGCCCACAAACCGCGAAAACCTGTGACGCCCACAATTTTTATGCTAGATAACAAATTTTAATTGAAATGTATTGGTTTCGTCAACACCTATCGATTGGTCCAAAAAAAATTTGCCACGCCCACTCTAACGCCCATAACGCTTAGATCTGTATACCGCCGGTAGGTGGCGCATTTTAATCTCGCTTTGCTACTTGCATATCTCTATTTAGCTGAGTAACGGGTATGTGATAGTCGGGGTACTCGACTATAGCGTTCTTCCTTGTTTTCTCTGATTTTGTTACAAAAAGATTTTTCTCCATTTAGTAATCTGGTGAAACAAGAACCTTCTGGGTTAAGTGTGCAATAATTATTAAATATTTCTGACTTAAAATTAGACATTACATAGTACTTATTTCTACATTTTGCGACGTGATTATCAATTAATAACTTTCCATCATCATGTGAAATGGATCTTGAATTGTAAACGTCACAGCGATCGGTAATAATAGGGTATTTTATGTAATTTATAATAAGGTCTTGATGCAAAGCGATTTTAAATTCAGATATATCTAAAAGGTCTGTTATAACTACAGGTCTATTTTCGTGTTTGTAAACTTCTTGTATATCGTCATTGTTTACAATTTTAGTATTAAATACATCGATTTTGGCGAGTGTAATTGTGTCCATTAAATTCATAAAATCATAAGTAAGCAAACGCAGACGATATTTTCTAAGCGGAATTTCTTGATCTTTAAAGGTTGTTTTGAATTCTTCAGATAAAGATTTTATCTCTTTAAATATTTTAGAATTAATAACGAATTGATCGTTATTATTTTGTATTAAATCATCGATTTTATTTTGGACAGTTATGAAATCATCATGATCTGGTGTTGCCGCTATCCATTTCCAAATAGTGCCTATTTCATTAATGCCTCTTTTCGATCTACTTTGGGAGATAAGTATTTGGATAATTTTTAAATCATGGAATATTTTCCAAAGAAAATTGTTGCTGTCGTGACTCTTTAGAAATTCTGTTTCAAGATTAATTATATCTCTATAAAGACTTATATTAGTTATATGAAATAAATCTGCGTATGATTCATAAATAAGAAAATCTTTGGTATCCTTGTAAAGAAGGAAATCATGGTTCGTG